GTTAATAAAAATCACCCTCTGCCACTTTTTAACCCGCTCAACGAAAAGAGAAAGAAAAAAAAAAAAAAAGAAAAACAGAAGAAATTACTTCGAACAAACGCTGAAACGTATGAAAAGTGTAATAAAAGGGTAGAGGACTTGGCTCTGGATGTGAAATGTGCTGTAGAAATTCGATCATTCCGAGGGTGGGGAGGGGGATGCATTGGCGTAGGTGAAATCGGTAGTCAAAGGCAGCCGAAGAGGGTTGTTGGGCCATGCGACGCCAATAGAAGCTACTGGGGGGTCAAATGACAGGCGAGCGCACCTATTGGCTACTCGGTACGATCGTCACGTTCGGTCACGACAATTTATGACGATTGGAATAGCGGCCAGTTCAGCCGTTACACGTTCGCGCAACGGTGCCAGACTACTAAAGTTCCAAACGAGACACCTTACCAAACTGGTTCAATTAGCAGAACAGCGTGAAAAAGGATTCACCGCCGTATCAGCCTGTAACGAACTTCCTGATAGGAATAATCCACCTGTACTCCACCTTCGCCCCTGTAAACCTCGATTTTCTAGTCGACGTACCTTCTCGCTTTTATCTCGATCCCCTGGACGGAATTTAGCTTTGCAGGAGTGGTGCGAGGGATACTAACACGAAGGACGAGGACGAGCAGGACCAACCTGTGGCAATTGTTCATGATGTATGGCTTCTGTTATTGGTGTTACATCAACGTATTCGATGATTGCCAATGACAGTGTAAAGCTTCGTTTAAGGTTGATCTTGATCTAGTAGCTTTTTGTCTCTTTTGCCAGTTTAGGCGAAATGATAAATAATCGAAGTTGTTCTTAAATGCTTACGTCTATTATCTTTTATTGAGAGAACGTATATAATATATATAATATTTCTTTTTTCGTATGAATTATATACGTATGTGTAATATATATTCTTACATATAATGTACATGAAAGAAATAATATACGAACGAAAAATTCGAGGAAAATTGGCAACATCTACGTACAAGCTCGAAAATTTATTGTTCCCGTAACATGCATAATGTA